GATCCTCAGGTGATCACTGGAATTCCATGCATTTCAGCACTGGGCGGGGGTGGGGGTGGGGTGGTTGGGGGGGGCGGGGGGGGTGACTTTTGAAGTACTCTCATTGTTTTGAAATACACCTGGGAAATAATAGCTTATTTTGAAAGAATACCCAAATTATTTTCCATAAGACACACTTGACCTTTTAGGGAAATTACTCTGCCAGGACTTTGTCGACCTAGAGAACTGATGCACAATTCCACCTTCCTTTAAATCTTTTGTTTCCTGCAATTGTAGAAGGGCCCAGGCCCAGGGACTCCAGCTAAGTAAGAACTAGACACATGGGGTCAGAAAGACAGCTCATGCAGTGGAAGCAGTTGCCAAGCAACCTTGCTGACCTGAGGTTAACCCTGAAGCCCACGGGAAAAGATAATGGCGTGCTTCTCTATTCCAAACACGGTGGTGACGAGACGTGAGGCGAGAGACAGGAGAACTGGCCTGAATCCGAAGAGCCAGCTAGCCTGGAGTATGTGTGCAGTGTGGCAAAACCCAAGGAGACCCTGCGGCAGAGCGGGGCTGGAAGTCAGCCAGCTCCAAAGACTTGTCTCCTGGGACTGGAGATGGGGTTCAGTAGTTAAGAGTACTCACTGGCTGCTCCTCCAGAGGACCCGGGTTCAATTCCCAGCACCCTCCTTGGGGTTCACAACCATCTAACTCCAGTTATGGGGATCCATATCCCTCTTCTGGCCTCTGAAGGTGCCAGGTGTGCAAGTGAGGCCTGGACACACATGCAGGCAGAACACACATACACATAAAAAAAAATCCTAAAAAAATAATTTAAAAATTGTCTTTTGACTGGCACATGTAAATCATGGAACATGTGTGGCCCCTTTCACGCATACATCATACGTAGTTAAACATGATCATAATATAGAGTGCTTCCCAGGTATTACCATATCTTCAGGGGTCGATTGATTTGTGACTTTGAGAGTTCAAGACAGACCCGAAGAAGGAATTTTGAGGGATTTCCTCTCAAAGAGGAAAAGCAGGAAGCCGCAGCCTCTTTCAGTTACAGGTGTAGGGACGGTCAGTCCAGCTCCTGCTCAGATTAGCATTTACTCTTACCAAAAGCCTAGTTACCAGTAGCCTGGTACCTCATGCATCACATCCGACTTCCAGCCAGAACATTACCAAACTCGCTAAAAGACGAGGATTGCAAGAGATATGGCAGGCGGGGTTAGGGATTTAGCTCAGTGGTAGAGCGCTTGCCTAGCGAGCGCAAGGCCCTGGGTTCGGTCCTCAGCTCCAGAAAAAAAAAAAGAGATATGGCGGGCGTCAGTGTTAATGTGAAACAGCACACGTAGGCCTTGGCAGGGTGGGCGAGGTGCCCCAGTGGGTGGGGGAGATACGCCTCGTGAAGAGAGGGAAAGGAAGAAAAAGGAGGGGGGGGGTTTGTTTTTCTAAGAAGAGGCTGGACGGCCCCAAGGGGCGGTTCAGAATGCTAACAGTCAGAACAAGACTAATACGTCAAATGGGGGGGGGTGGTGGTGTTGGAATTCTCAGGCCAGGAATTGACAGCAACCATGATTAATATGCCAAGGGCTCTAAAAGTGGACAACACATAAGAACAGATGGGTAGATAAACAGGTTGAAATCAGAGAAAGAACTGAATGCCCACTGTTGAACTTATCATCAGGCTGGAGGTGGCCGAGAGAAGACATGGTGAGCCCAAAGCCATCCATACGGAAGCTGTCCATAGTAAAAACTTCCCAAACTCAAAGTCTAAAGCAACAAAGTGGGACTGGAAGGATGTCTAAGAACCGGGGAAAATTAGGAAAGTTCACATGTAATGACAATACCAGAAGAAGAAAGGAAGAGAATATTTGAAATAATGCCTAACAATATTCCAAAGCTAGTAATATACACCAAGTTACAGATGCAGGAAGTTCAGAAACCTAAGTGGCAGTCACGTATGGAAACACATGCCTGTCTCAGCACTCAGGCGGCTGACACGGGAGGATTTGGAGTTTGAGGCTAGCCCAAGAGACACCTTGTCTCGGAAAAATAAAATAACACAAACATCAAGTAGGAATTGTGGGTATAGCTCAGGGGTAAAGCCATGCATAGCATGCATGTGGCCTGGGTTCACTCTCCAGTCCCAAAAACAAACGTAGAAAAAAGTTACGTCAGAAAATAGTCCGTGTGGTGGCTGACACCATTAACCCTGGCCCTCTAGACTACGTCAGAAGACCCTGTCTCAAACAAAACAAGAACTCTTATTACAAACGGGAAAGTATGAATTGTTTTTAACACCCGGATATATCATTTGAATTGCAGCAACCAAAGACAGGGAATGTTGAAAAAGACAAAACACCTCACCTGTAGAGGAAACATGAATAAGAGTCACATTGGCTTTCTCTTCAGAAATCATTCAAGAACAGAGTAGGAAGAGGTTAGGCAGGACCTCCGGGCAGAGAGAGAGGAAAAGGAGATGAATCTAGGTGCCAGAGGAGACAGAGAGGAAATGGGAAATGGAAGAGAGGTAAAAAAAGCCATGGGGCAAAATGTAGATTAATATAAATGAATTCATTTATGTTATAAGAGCTAGTGAGACAAGGTCTTAGCTATAGGCCAAGCTTTCATAATTAGTAAGTCTCTGAGTGGTTTGTTTTGTTTTGTTGTGAGCTGGCAGACCAAAGAAAAGTCTGACTGCTCCTGGAATGTTCACTATGGAAGGCCTTGCTTTGTGAGAAACATGCTGATAAGTAACAGGGAAGGAAAGTGTCTCAGAACAGTTCATTATCTGTAGCTCGTAGCTTCCACACCCCACCTCAAGCTTCGAGGATCCAAGTGCTGAACTGCTGTTGTTGAAAGTCCAGACACTGAACACCTGAGCGGGAGGGGGAAGCGGGGGTGCAATGATGAGGCTGAATCCTTAAAATTAATTGGTGATGGAAGCATTTGGGTGAAGGCAAAGATGCGTAAAGAATGTATGTAGCAAGGGCTGAAAGAGCGGCTTGGGGGTATAGCAATTACTTTGGACCTGTGAGGCACCACACCCAAAATGAAACAATCCTCTTAGTAAAATCTTTTATTTGGTTTATGTTTCAAGTGTAAAAAAATCATAAGCTGGAATATTTGATGATACGGGAGCGAGGAGAAGCCAAGTCAAACAGCAACATCCATTTAAAATAAATCGGAAAGTCGAATTTCTAAAATGCCATCCTCTTGGAATTATCTCGTCATCCATCATATCTCAGTTGCAAAAGATTTGGAAAGACTCCGGCTGAAGAGGTGTGTTCTGGGTTCAGCGGCTTCAGCAAGAGCTCTCCCCTGTGAGGGTAGCACAGAATTCCTCAATCTACCTTTCTGTTTTTAATAAACATTAATTTGCAACAGCATCTTAGAAACACTGGGAATTTACACAGGTGGTGCCGAGTTCTCAGACACCCTGTGCCCCGTTTTCCTGTTAGTTATCATCAGGTGTTACCACAGCGTGGACTGGATTCAGATTCCTTCAGTTTTACCAAGCTGCCTTTTCTGTTCCGGGACCCAGTTCAAGTGCTGAATTGCACTGGGTCATTATATTCTATAGGTTCCTCTCATCTAATAGTGTATCAGAGTCCCCTTATTTGTCTATTTGTTTTTAATTTTTTTTAAAATTATTTTATGTGTATGACTGTTTTGCCTGCATGCCTGTCTGTGTACATGTGCACCTAGTTCCCATGGAGTCCAGAAGAGAGCATCACATTCCCTGGAACTGGAGTTACGGACAGTGTGAGCCATCATGTGGGTGCTGGGAATCGAACCTGTGACCTTTCCTTCTAGCCCTGTGGATTTGTTTTGTTTGGAGACTGGGTCTCATGTAGCCCAGGCTGGCCTCAAACTCACTCTGCAACTGAGGCTAGCCTTGAACTCCTGATCCTCCTGCCTCTACCTTCCCAAGTGCCGGGATTATAGGTGTATGTCTGTTTTATAAAATAGCGAGAATCAAATTTAGGGCTTTGTACACCCTTGGTGAGCACTCTACCAACCCAGCTTCACCCCTTTCCTGTGTCCAGTTTTATTGTCAACGAATGACAGAATATCCAAATTGATCATCAGAAGTCAGAAGCGTGGAATATATTTTATTTTGAACCAGCTCAAAGATTCAGTGAACTAATTTCTCTAAGATTAAAAACAAAAGTTCAGCCAGGATCTGGTGGTGCACACCTTTATTCCTAGCACTCAAGAGGTAGATGCAGGCTCTCTGTGAGTTCGAGGACAGTCTGGTCTGCAGAGCAAGTTCCAGGAGAGGCAGGGCTGTTGTTACACAGAAAAACAATGTCTTGGAGAAAAAAAAAAGTTCAGTTGTGCTGACCCATTAGTGTGTATATGTGGTTACATGATTTGTTCACATTGTTAATGTTGAGAATGAAAATTCCCAGGATTAGGTGGGGTGGGGAGCTATGTCTATCTGGCTGTGAACAAAAGGTCTTCTGGAAAGAGTCTGTGTCTGCAGAGCAGAGACTGACAGACTGATTGGGTTCTTTTGGTACTGTGGAGACATTGGAAAGCGCTTTGGGAGACTTAAGGAACTGCTATTTTGAGTTGTTATTCCCAACAATAATTTACCCAGCCCCTAGTTCTGTTTCCCAAGTCGCACGTTGACTCACCGAATCCAGCTCCTTAGAAAGCATTCATGGCTCTCCTCCGGTTAATGTCTCTCTTGATTTGGCACACAGAGCAAACAGGACAGAAGAGGGTGGTAATATAGTCATCACAAATAGATCCCTGCGGAAGACACGGAGGCGTGTGAATGTACAACCTGCTGCGGCTTGTGGATTTTAAAGAAAACCAAAGCATGCACACAGGGCTAGAGGGAACCCTTCAAGAGTCATTTCTTTCCTTCCCCCACTTGGGTCCTGGTCTTCCAGTTTGACAGGAAGTGCTTATCTGCTCAGCCGTCTCACTGGCCCTGGATTCGGTTTAGACGGATACCTCCAGGAAAACCATAACTGACCACAAGACACTTGCCTCTCCATTGCAGTGCTCTACGATTCTGAGAATAGAAGATCCACTCTAACTATCAAGCCCAAGAATACAATAAAGAGATTCAGAAAGTCAGATCTCACAACCAGGAAACTCCTGGTTCTAAGTTGTTACAGCAGAATGAAAAACTCGAGACACGTGATTCTGTGAACGTTTTTGGGAAGAGAATTAGGGAAGTGGCAAACAGTTTGGGGTCAAAGTACTAATGAAAAAAGTAAAAGTTTGGCAGGAAATGTGACCACATGAGACATCGACTGTGATGCTGAATGAAGCAGCACTGTGGTCACAATGTAGAAGCTGGACATGGAATTAGCCAAAGGTACGGAGCCTGTGTAGGAGGGAGTGGGTAGGAGCCAGGAAGGACACAGGACCACAGCCCAGGCCTCCGGGAAGTCCATAGGCGAAGCCTACATCAAGAAGCGAATATTCAACGGAAAAACAAAAAAACTGCTCTGTAGAGGGTCACACAGGTGAAGGAGTTAGGGAATGGTTGTTTTTCTTGACGATCTACAAAATGAGATTTATCATTTAAAGAACAGTTTGGTTCAGAGTTTTCATCCGTTAAAAACGAACGCCAACCTAGGGAGCAGGGACTTTGGTAAGGCCGGAGATCCTGAGCAGTTTAACGCGGGGGAGGAGAAAGTCAAGCAGAGTCGCAGATCCGTCACCGTCACCCCGAAGCAGCCCTGGGGGACGGGTGGGGACACTGCACTAGGGGATGGGTGGGGACACTGCACTAGATAAACCCAAAGCTCAGAAACACGGAGCAGGGGAGGTGGGAAGCAGGCAGTGTGGTTCTCCTGGACGATCAAACCCAGGGCCCCCTCATGTGGGTCTCGGGGCTCCAGGAGAGGCCCGGCAGGAAACAGTGGGTAGTGTCCTAAATATTAGATTGCTAGCTCACAGGGTACATACACTCTGAGAGAGACTGGCAAGTATTCTTCCAAGACTATCAGTTTACACACCATCAGCATTTACACGAATGTATTTCTATGAGTTAAAGGGATAGAAACAAGTTATTATTTATTACCAAGTGGTAGACTTGGTTATTAAAAGGTTCCGTTTTCACTTTTTATTTCATATATTTCTGTTTAAATTTGCTACGTATTTTAACATTGCTTTGTAATAAAATAAAACTAGTTAAAATTTTCAAGTGAAAAAAAAATTCACTGAAATAAAATAGGTCCCTAGAAAATGTCGCACATTCGTTTGTCCCTGTGACGGTGAAGCTTGTGTGTTTCCTTGTCTAGGCCACAGCTGAACATAGGCGTTTGCTTCACCATTATTCTAGATGGTTTCCGAAGATTTATTTGAGATAAAATTAACATTTAAACCTGTAGACTTGGAATACAGCAGATTACCTCACATAATGTAGATGGACTGCTCTTCCAATTAGTTGAAGACCTTCTTACAATTAGGACCTGGGGCTTACTGATTAGGTTGGCCGGCCAGGGAGCCACTGGGGTCCATCTGTCTCCCCCTTTCCAGGACAGGGACTGAACTCAGGCTTGCAGAGCAAGCCTTCTACTGACTGAGCTCTCTTCAGCTTTATCCTTCCTCCTGTTCCTCCTTCCTTCCCTTCCTTCTGACAGGGAAACACTGTGTAGCTCAGACGCCCAACCTTTCGACCTCAACCTCCCAAGTCCTAAGATTACAGGTGTGTGTGCTACCATGCTCAAATAGTTGAAGACCTTGGCAGAGGAAGAGGAAGAAGATGAAGAAGAACAAGAGGAAGAAGAGGAAGAGGGAGCAGAAGAGGAGGAGATGGATTTCCCTTGAATTAGGAAGAGTCCTGCTCGTACACTGCCTGTGGACTTCAATTCACTCATGACTATCTAGCTGCTTTGAGTGTTGGACTTAGTGGTTTCCATCACTGCATGACTTTATAACACATCTCTCTCTATGACTTTTTTTTCTTTTGGTTTTTCAAGACAGGGTTTCTCTGGGTAGCCCTGGCTGTCCTGGAACTCACTCTATAGACCAGACTGCCTCTGCATCCTGAGTGCTGAGACTAAAGGAGTGCACCACCACCATTTGACTTTTTCTTTACTGCTGTCTCGGTCTCTGTCTCTCTCTCTACACACACAGAGGGAGGCAAGTATACACATATATATTTAATATATATACATATATAATGCACATTCCTATATGATATATAGAAATATGTGTACGTACACATGTGCATGTACATCTACTTACCTATGGGCTGTTTCTTTGTGTAACTCTGATTAAAATGCTACCCCATTTCATACGGTGATGTAGGTGTAACGCAAAGTGCACCCACGGACAGTTTGGATTGGATGTCAACTCTCTGTGATACCAGGGCACACCTCTTACACACTTGGAAGCCTTTGTTGGTAAAATATGGCGGACCCTCCCGCACCACACACAGGCATCACCGGTGTGGTGGAGAGTTCAGGCACCTGAAGTATAATAGGTTCCAAATAATCCTCCTCTACTGTGTTACACACTTGCAAATAGGAAGTCCTTGCTTTCCAGGATGTTCAAAGGGCACACAAGGAGAGGATCTACTGCTCTGTTGACTGAAGACTGTACACGCCACACACCTCTGGCTAATCAGACTCAGAGCCTGGACACCATCAAATGGCAGCCACCCCTCCAACGGCTACAGTAAATCCGGTTGCAGACTGGAATGATAAAAGGTGAGAGACTCACGGGAATGCCATATCGGGTTCGGTAGAGGGTCCTCATCGCCACAGTTGTCCCACACAAACAGCATTCATTCATGTCAGCTGCCACTTGACACCCAAGACACGTAAAGCAGAACGTCCCACAGAGGCCTGGAAACAGGAAAGCAGGGGTACAAGTCACTCGTCTGCCCCCAGCAGCTCCACCAGGAGCGGTCACAACAGGAGGCTTTTCCCCTCTCGGTGCCAAGTCCGTCTTCACTGTCTGGGTGGAGCTTCGTTACACGCCCCCCTCCCCCGTCATTTCAAGAGCGACTGCACATGGAAAAGATCCGGCTCTTTCTGCAGCAGCGCCACTCAGGTGTTAATTACCGAAACCTACCCAGGTTCCAGGTAAAACCCTCAGTACTAACCATGCTCCCACCTGGAATCCGTTAGGGATCTAACAGGAAAGAATGTCCAGTGGAGAACCAGCTCACTTCAGAGCGGAGCCCACAAGGCCCTGAGTGGTAAATACCTCCTGAGCCGAAGAGTGAAGCGTGGTTAGAAAATTTTAAAGTGAATGAAAGGGAACAGAGTCTCTTCGAGATCATTTGTCATATCCATTCACTGTGGCCAAGGTCCTGGGATAGGGTAGGGATGAAGTTAGGGGGTGACAGGCCTAAGGTGGTGTGTGTGTGTGTGTGTGTGTGTGTGTGTGTGTGTGTGTGTGATGACAAACTAGGAGGTGTTTACGTCTGCCACCAAGGCCAGGAAGAGGCACCAAGTATTTTGTAAGGAGAGAATGATTTGGTCAGATCTGCATTAAGAAAATCTTCCATAAACCGGGTGGTGGTGGTGGTGGTGGTGGTGGTGCACGCTTTCAATTCCAGTACTCGAGAGGTAGGGTCAGAGGCAGGCAGATCTCTGAGTTCAAGGCCAGCCTGGTCTACAGAGTGAGTTCCAGGACAGCCAGAGCTACACAGAGAAACCCTGTCTTGAAAAACCAAAACAACAACAACAACAACAAAAAAAAAAAAAAAAGAAAGAAAGAAAGAAAAGAAAGAAATCCTGCCACAAAACAGTGAAGACTACCCCCTCCCCTTAAAAACCACAGTTTATTTAGTGAGTGCGCACACAGTGTGAAAGTCAGAGGATAATTTTCAGGTGCTGGGCCTCTCCTTCCACCACGTGGCTCCTGGGGCTCACACTCAGGCTGTCAGACTTGGCCACGGGCACTTTTCCCACTGAGCCGTCCTGACAACCCGACATTAAAGTTCGAGTATCCAAGTAATTGTACATTCAGATAATTGAGTGGTGACTTGGGGCTGGAGGATTAAGTGTTAATGTTTAGGAAATTTGACTATTGTAAGTCTTTATTATCACTTTGATTTTCAGATGTCAGAAACAATGTCCTGAGACACGTTAGTCAGTCGACCCTGTTACCTAGTAAGTCAAAGAGCGCTCTATGTAATTCCTTCTGTCTATGCTCTCCTGTAATTGTTAGCCTCCTTCGGTTTCAAGTTCCGTTCCATTGCAAGTTAAAGCTTGTGTATTTCCTTACAATTCTTAGGAACAGGCTTCAAAGCAAACCTTTTGTTCCTGATTTGCTGAGAACAGTCTCTGGTCCCCTTTGCTACCCCACCTCACTTTCTTCCAAGATCGCTTGGACAGAGATCTTATTGCTGCATGCAGGAAAACTTAACTGTACAGATTGAATTAGTTCTCTGAGGCTGTGCCAAAACTGGCTGAGAAGTGTCCTGTGATGGGACACGATGTAACTATGAAACAAGATTTTAATATATGTGTAACCAAAAAGAGATTTTTTTTTTCTAGTTTTTTAATCCCAGCACTCAGGAAGCAGAGGCATCTCTGTGAGTTTGAGGCTAGCCTGGTCTACATAGTGAGTTCCAGGACACCTAGGGCTACACAGAGAAACCCTGTCTCAAAAAACAAACAAAATTAGGTTCAAGTAAAAATGTTTCATTCATGTATAATCTGTTTATAATTATTAGGCCAAGCCCATTCAGTTTTAGAATCATTTAAGACTTCCAATGTTACCTTAACTCTAGGAGTTATTTTAGGGATAACATGATTACTTTTGATAGACAGGAGAAAAATCAGCTGTAATCATTAGGCTGTCTTTGATTTTGACTGCATCATTCCGGGCTGCCCAGGCGTCTGTAATAAGTTAGCAACTTTCAACACAGCGGGAGAGGAATGGGGCAGTGTATCAATGTTGGGGGCACCTTCCCCCCACTTACAGACTCCGAAGTCGCTGAAGCAATCGCACAGGCTGGTCTGCCAGTTGGAGTTTTGGGGAGCACGAACAAATCCGGGTTGAGTCACGATGACTGTGGGTGCCTGAGCCATCTTCGATGCGAGGTCTCAAAAGCCCTGGTCTGAAAAAGAAAATGTTGGCGTTGGCTGCCTGGAGCTGCTGTGGGTAGGCGCCAGGTCCTGCTCCTAAGCTAACTGCTGTGTTCCGCTGGCTGGGGACGTGGTTGGAGAAATCAGCTTGTTGATCTCTCAGAGTATTTCAGTCTCCACCTCTGAGGGGCAGAGGCCCCAGGGGAAAACACTGAACTGGAAAGGCGAACAGATGAGTCTCATGGGCAGAAGAAACGAAAGAGTGTTGATCGTAAGCTATTTTCAGACAGGTACCTGCTGTCCAGGAAGGGGGAACAAATGACTGGCCTGTGACAGTGGTGGGGTCAGGGGACCATGGGAAACAACCTTCTCTTAAGCTGAATGGCCTAAACTTAGTGCATAGCCACCCTCCTCCCCATCTTGATCTGTCTCTTCCGGTTTTGACAACCTCTCTTGATTCCAAGCTGTGCCTTTGTCCGGGCTGCTTAGCCCCTGACACCTGGCAGGAACTAGCAAGCCCTGATAATCATCCTGACTGGTTTCCTATTGTGTTTTGTCAGCGGTGATGTTTATCTGTTTACCCGAGTCAGGCTCTCATCACGTAGCCCAGGCTAGCCTCAAGCCTTCCAAATGCTGGAATTACAGGTGTGTGTTACCATTCCCAGCCCAGCATCTGTTGACTATTGTAATAACCAGTAAATAACTTTAAATGTTTCTCTTCCCATTACTGAGTATACTATACAAATAGTTTGTAGTTTTAAAAGATTTAGTAAAGCAAGTATAAGTAGGTAGGGTACAATATTTGACATGGAGAATGTTTAAAAAAAAATCCAAAGCAAGAGAGATTTGAGAGTCCCAAGGTTAGGAAAATGATGAAAAGACAGGATCAAATAGTTTACAAAAGAAATGGAAATTTAAAAAAAGCTTAAATATATAAAAAGATGCTCAAAGTCTCGCAACAGTAAGGAAAAAATGCTACCTGTTAGGCAAAATTGAAAACTTGGGGGGCTTGGGTGAGGCGATTGCCCGGTATGCGGAGGGCCCCAGTGTGGATCTTTAGCACTAAAACTTGGTCAGAGCAGTCAGGAAAGAACATTGTATGGACGGGCTGGAGGGCAAGTATGTTGATATTTTATTTGTACTGAAATGTGATTTTGGCGGGTGACAAAGATTTGTCCTAACTGTGGGCAAGGCAGGAAAACTCTAGCTACAGGCAAGTGTCTTAGGTGAGAAGAGCTTACAGGAAGCACTATGTTGAATAATATGATTGTGACTGGGTTAACTTGGAAAATGCAAATGGTGAGGTCCCTCTGAGGCTTATGGACACATTGGTGCAGGACCCAAAGACGAGCAAAACTTCAAAACTGTCAGCCTATAGTCTCCAGTACCTGGGGAGCCGAAGCAGGAGGATCGCTGGGGCCCAGTTCTAGACCAGCCTGAGCAATGTAGCAAGATCTTGTCTAAAAAAAAAAACAAAACCAAAAGAATTAAATATCATCAGGGCATGTGCCAGGATTCAGGAAACCACGAGGCAAGCAGGTTTACGAGCACATAGACACATAGATAGATATGATAAGAGGTATATAAAGATAACGTTCTGATTATGTTAGGTAGATATGATAGAGGTACATAAAGATATGTTCTGGTTATATCCACAGAGAGAGTACACCTAGTGCCCATTGATTACCAAATGCCATTGTTCAAAAGGAAAAGCAGGGTTCACTAATGCGTTCCTCCAGAGCTGGGGAGAGGAGGCCTGAGATGAACCCGGGGAGTATGATATCAGCAAGAAGAGGCCTCAAGAGTAGATCTAATCAAATGGAACGCTGCTGAGTGGGGGAAGGGGTAGATTTCTGAGCAATTCGATGGCCAGATTTAGAATTTGAGCAAAAAGTAATGTTATTGTCAGATTATAACTCATAAAATAAACAATCTGTAGTTCTCTCTATATATTATCTGTATCATTTTTGTATAATATTAGTATAAGTAAATAAACTAAATTTTAAATGGAGAGAAAGGATGGTACTTTCTTCCTTAGAAAGTTCCAGTTAGTGAGTATAGAAGGAATAACAGAAATATAAGACCGTCGCCTGGTGGACACCATAGTACTAACCACTGCGGGCAAGATGGATGGGCGGAGTCTGTGATATTCCTAGGGTATTTTTCATTTTTACCTGGACTTCCTGGCTGATTTTTCCTTCTCCAAAGCAAGCCATAGAGACTGGAATTTCACTTCCCCAAAGTCAAAGAAACTAATCTTTCCTTCCCATCCTTCTGTCTTGGAGTTGGCCATATAGACAGTTTCCGATCTCCTCTGTCAGACAGCCAATCACATATACCCACTGGATAATCTGGCCCTCGAGGAAGAACACTGAAGAATCTGCCCAGACCGGGCATGATGCTTCCCCACCTAGTCTGTGAGGCATTGGTGGCCACAAAGCGACATCTCCACAAATGCCCAAAGGACAGAGTTTGAAGAGGGCTGGAAACGTAGTTCAGCAGGTAGAGTGCTTGCTTAGCAGGCAAGAAGCCCTGGTTTCCATCCCCAGCACTGTATAAAAGTGGGCAGGGTAACACATTCCAGCAATCCCAGGACTCAGGAGACGGAGGCAGGGGGATTAGAAGTCAGTTAAGTAGTGAGTTCGAGGACACCTGAGCTACAGGAAACCCTGTCTGGTAACAACAGCAAGAAGTCTACTTGAGTCTGGAGCAACAGGTAGTACACACTTGTAAGCCAGGCGGAGGTTAGGAGGATTGTGACTTTGAAGCCAGGCAGTGCTCTGTAGGGAGACTATGCAAATCCAAAGCAAAAGCAACTAAGTAGCAAGAATAAAAGACAACAGCCCCACAGAAAGTCTACAGGTAATTAAGTAAGGAGATGCACTCGCTCAAGGGAGAAGGCTCATAGTAAGGCATGGTGGTCTGCCAGGAAGTTGTTGGAAAGCGTTCTTAGAGAATGTAGGCTGCGATTGAATGGTTTGGAAGAGAAACCAGGAAACAGAGATGCTACCAGAAGGTGAAGGGCAATTTATGGTGACTCACACTCACTTGTTAAGGAGCAGCAGCTTTACTGACCAGAAAGTTGAACAAACTTCTTCCTGCTGCTTTCAGTTCATTTTAAAACTTCACTCATTGCGGAGGACACACAGCTGGCCTGTGTATTATTGGTTCCTCACTAGCTTTGCTGTTGATGAGAGCTCTGACTGAAGCCACCCCACAGGTTCAAGCTGGTAAAAGGCCACATTTTTCTATCTTGTCCTGGGACTTTTGCCGGGGGGGGGGGGGAAGGGATCGGGGGGGGGGGGGTCTTCCTCTGAAAGCATTTCCTTCTGTTTTCTTCCTCCCGTTTCCTCCATTCCTTTCTTTCTTTTGCGATTTATTTAGCTCATGTTCGCATGCATTCATCTTCTCTCTCTCTCTCTCTCTCTCTCTCTCTCTCTCTCTCTCTCTCGTGTGTGTGTGTGTGTGTGTGTGTATGAATGAGTGTAATTAGGGTTACTCACAGGAGCATGGGCAACTAGCCAGTGACCACACCAGTGAAGAAAAATGTCTCTGTTTCCCAGCCACTGAACGATACCAATTGTACACTAATGATTAACCACAAGGCCTGCTATTCCAGGAAAGGGGCTAACACCGAGCCATAAGACATGCTAATCAAAACTTCGCTTGGATTTGTGGAACCCATAAGGTCTGATGACCTATGAATAACAGCAGATGGTTGACCAGAAAAGTCTATCTGAAACTTATAACTACCATGGGCCACACCTGGTATACCGTTCCAGAAATCTCTACATACGCCTTGCCTCTGTAGCCCCAATATAACATAGTTTTTTCTTTTCTTTTTTGAAATAGGGTCTCATATAGCTTAAGCTCCCCTCAAACTGTTTCTAGCCAAGGATAATCTTGTACTCTGGATCTCTTGCCCCACTCAATTCCGGGGATTGAATCCAGGGCCTCCTGCATTGCTAGGCAAGGACCATAGCAACTGAACACCAAAACCTGCCCTTTTTTTTCTTTTCCTTTTCTCTTTCTTTCTTTCTTTCTTTCTTTCTTTCTTTTCTTTTCTTTTTCTTTTTTCTTTTTTTTTGACTGGAGTGTCCATCTTCCAATTTCTTGAAATATCTTTACAGGATGCAACAGCAGCTCCCTACATTTATTTCATCAGTTTCAGAAAAAGAAAGTAAAAACATTGCTATAATTCGATTTCGTTGCTGACCCTCTTCACAACTAACAAGAGCAGGTGTCTGTGAGCAGTGTTTACTGGTGCAAGACTTGAAAATGTAGCAGGCACCTGGTCCCTGAAAGGGGTCTCACTAACCCCGCTAGGAAGTTCTCTGCTTCCCCATCTGCTGGGGATACGCTTGATGCCCTCATAGGGGGCGCATTTCACCCACTGATGAGTGGGCAGACCCTAAGCACCTCAGCAATGGGTCAAGTTTCCCAGGACTGTTCAGACCTCCCCACGTAAGTCTCCCAGTGCTTCCCTCCATCCCAAACTCCAACACTATAATGTCAGAAATTATATTCTGTATGATTACTTACCACAATGCCTTGGAAAGCAAAGCATTTTAGAAAACAGAAAAGCATGTGTATCCAAGTTTGCTTTGCATTACCTTTGAATATTCAAATGCCAGAAAGAACACAAAAGAATACTGGGTGGTTACCTCAGAGTGAGCTGCTGATAATTTTTTCACTTTTATCTTTATTATTAATTTTTTTATGATAGTGTTGAAAAAACTGTTAGGACTGGGAGACACAGATCTGTGGTAGGGTACTTGCTTAGCATTTGATAGGCCCTGGTCTGCAGCCCCACCATAACAACAAAAAATTAGAACTACCAGGAAAAGCTCCAAAGCTACACAGAGAAACCTTGTCTCAAACAAAACAAAACAAAAAAAAAATTAGAACTAGCATTTATTTCTTTTATAATGAAATCTTGAGGTAGCTTTTTTTTTTTAACCCTTTGGGGGAAAATCAAATCGACAACTAACATCTTTAAAGGGAGTAAGCCGTCATCTACAGCTCTGGTTTTACTCCTGGGCTCAATGTCCAGCATGACGCTGGCATTTGATAAGTGACAGCTGAGGGAAGGAAGGAACATCCTTTCTGCCATTGTTTTCAGAGGGAAATTATAATCCTTAACTCACTTCTTTTGCAAGAAGCCTACATTGGGGTTCTAGTGGGCAGCAGGAGAGTTCTGAGAGAGAAGCACAGGGCAGTGGTTCTGTAGTTATCCTTTGCCTGGCAACCCTCACTCAGCATATTGCAGATGTTTGTGTTCTTGTATTATTTGAATATTGACTTCACAATCACTTGAGACCTGAACACTGGCCAAGTGCTTCTAAAGTCCATGGCAATCTGCACCTGAGGCAAAGAGGTGCCCCGAACGTCTGTCTGCTTATTGCCAGATAATCGGTAAAAAATATTTTCCTTTCTCTACGAGTAGCTTAAAAAGTCACCAGTCTAAGTTGTATGCTATTAGCCAAGGTGGTGGTGCCTATAATACTAGCACCTGGAAGGTGGAGGCAGAAGAAAAAATATTGTAATAATAACCATAACACAACCTCATATCTTTTTCATTAAAAAATTATGTATGTATGTGTGTATGTATGTATGTATGTATGTATGTATGTATGTAGTATGTGTGTATGTATTTAATGTATGAGGGTTCTGTCTGTAAGTATGTTTACATACCAGAAGAGGGCACCAGATCTCATTACAGATGGTTGTGAGCCACCATGTGGTTGCTGGGAATTGAATTCAGGACCTCTGGAAGAGCAGCCAAGTGCTCCTAACCACTGACCCATCTCTCCAGCCCTTCCTTTTCATTTTCTTAACCCAGGAGAAATTTGAAAACATATACAATATGCCCTACACACACCGGAATTATATTCAGTCTCTTTGGTATTCTAAGTATTTTTTTTTTCTATTTCTAATGCAGACAAAATCAAATTACAAATAAAACAATACATTAAACTGTTGCGTGCTTCTTTCATGGATTTCTTTTTCTTTCTTTTTCTCTGTGGTACCGGGGACTAAACCGAAGGCCTCCTGCGTGCGCGTTCGGCAGGTGCACGCTAAGATGCCCAGCTAAGTTCCTCTTTTGAAGTTGGGAAACTGCCGAGTGGGAAACTGGGGGGATCACTGTGTTTCCGAAACCGAAGCCAAGCAAGGGTGAGGGGACTGGGGGCGGGGCAAGAGGTTCTGAATACCCAGACCCCGGTGGAGGTTGTCTGCAGCTGTGTGTGGGGTAGGATGCTCTGCCCGGTACACTCCAGAGCATTCCTAGAGGAGAACTAGCGGTCCAGGGTTGCCATTTGCCACTTTCGGCTTATTCTGAAGAGGATTTTACACTGTCAAGCCCACGGTTTCTTACAGAAGAAACACCCCCCTCCATATGTAAAAACCCAAGAGCGGAGCCGAAAGTGCAGCTCAGAGAAGCGCTGGCTGATCACGCACGCGCCATCGACCTTGCCCTGCTCCCGGTCCTCAGTCTGCTAACCACCAAAACCCTCCCACAGAAGAACTAACCACAAAGCACTAAGAGAAGCCGGCAAACAGACTCAGGGCACTCTGAGGAAGCCCTGTGAGCCTGCCGCAACTCTGCCTCACTTGGGAGTTACAACAAAATGTAAAATCCAATGCGGACTGTCCCAAGGACCTGACTTTTTTTTTTCTTCTATTGGCTTCAACCATCAAGATGCGGAAGCCTTTAACCTCAGTCAACTCAAATGAAAGGTCACCAGGAAGTGAAGGAAAAAAAAAAATCTTCCCGGCATCTGCCTAACGTTGTTT